GGCCTCTCGTAACTCCTATTGATCTCTATTTTTATGTTCCGCCTACTCTTTTTATGTTATCTATAAATCTTATCTGTGGTCTTCTTCTTATAAGATCTTTCATGTTATATTGTAGCTAGTTTATTCCTACTTGTCATAATTAGTGTCCAGATTTGACATCCATATATCATGATAAGAACGATGCACTGATTGATCATTTTGCTCCTCAAGTATTGCAGTTTTTTGCGGTTCTTCAATATTTTACTAGATAGATCAGTCCAGATGGCCGAAGATCCTAAAAATCAGGAAAAAAATGTATTTCCCCAGAACAATGACCTTTATGAAGATACACTTACCAGACATATACAAGACTTGCAAGACGAAATAGAAAATGTAGATCAAGCAAATGATGGCACAATGAAGGCTCTTATTGAAACGAAAAGGGAGTGCTGCCTAACCGTTCTAACCCATAAGGAAAAACTAAGCCATCATACCAAAGAGCTAATAAGGAAAAGAAAACAGCTGACAGAACAATAAAAAAATTAAATAAAGATATCCACCGGTCAATCCGAAAAGACGTAAGACAAAACAATACAAGAGAAATAACTAAAATATTTCAAGAAAACAAAAGTTTAAAAGTTATGAGGCGACATAAGAACAACATAGGCAACATAAAATATGTACAAAATAAAAACCAAAGATGAAAACATTACTACTGATAGAACCAAAATTCCTAAGGTGGCCAAATCCATTTATCGCGAAAGTATGAGAGCTCTGACGAAAGACAATATTAGCTCCTGCCCAAAATCACAAACCAGGGATCAGAATTACTTCCAGAAATAACTCCATACGAAATCAAAATGGGACTTTTAGTAATAAAAAATAGCAAATTTTCTGGCGATGATGGAATAGTGATCGAAGCGATCCAACTAGGTAGAAATAAAATTATTCAGACTTTGGCCAAGCCTTTCACTGAATGCATCTACCAAGGAAAAACTCCTTCTCAATAGAATATTGGAATGATTACTTTATTACACAAGCAAGGAGACATAACAGATTTAAAAAACTACCGTCCTATCAGTTTGCTTTAACACATATATAAACTTTTCACAAAAATTATCAAAAAAATACTGAACGCTAAATTAGACTTCTATCAGCCTAGAGAACAAGCTTGATTTAGATCGGGATACAGCACTAACTGAATACAACAAGCCATTGGCACTAATATTTATCGACTACAGGAAAGTATTCGATACCATAAGCCATCAGATAATTTTAAAAACATTGACAGAATGCCGTGTAGAATATCGCTACACTAACATAATCAAATCTACCAAAATACGGTATATAAAAATATATAGGGAAAATTTAATGTATATAAGTCAGCAGAACTAGGGAATTGTATCACACTTCTTCTTCTTAGGGTGCCTGTTCGTTTCGAAAGTTGGCGATTATTCTGACTATGATGACTTCGTTGGTTGCTATACAGAATAGCTATGTTGAGGTCTTTCTATACTATGGCTCTTAGATTAAAAAGCCAGGATATTTTTCTTCGTACTGGGGCTCTTTGTCCTTCAATTTTACCTTCCATAATGCATTGGAGTAGTTCATATCTGCCTTGATTTTTCATTATATGTCCCAAGTATTGCAACTTCCGGCCCTTCACGATATTGACCAAATCCGCTGTTGTGTTCATTCTCCGCAGTACTTCTTCATTGGTGACTTCGTCTGTCCATAGTCTCTTTAGGATTCTTCTGTATAACTATAGCTCAATTGCCTGTAGTTTTGACAGAGTTTCTGCCTTTAATGCTCTCATTTCTACTCCGTATAGAAGCACTGAGTATACGTAACATTTAAGGAACCTTATTTTTATTTCTAGGATGAGGTCATGGCTCTTGAATGCATAGCTCATAGCGAAAAGAATGCTTATTTTGCGTTTTTAATGTGACAGTTAATCTTTTGGGTATTGCCCCACGACTCCTTAATTATAGTTCTTAAGTATTTGTACTGTGGGACACGTTCAACTCTCATTTGGTTCACATCCAGATATTTTTTCCTTGCTGATCATCTTAGGTTGGTTCTGCTGATGTTTATAAGCAGTTTATATGTTCTACTTGTTTCCTTTATATTGTTCATTAAGTTTTGCAGCCCTTCTATGGTCTTGCATTATCACATCAACGCTGATCATTTGAGAAAAGCTTATGGACATACGCTGTAAGAAATGTTGTCATATACTATTTTGAGGATTAACAGACATATCATTCGTGAATATCTATATGTATAATCTTCTGCCTTTATGAGAAAGGTAATCTCTTTGCGATTTCCGAAGAGCAGTTGCTACCGGTCGGATGGTTTGCAAATTCCCGCAAACTTTCTCAAAATGACGAAAAGTAGACAAAATAGTTATGTCTACCCTAAAAAACAAAAAAAAGCAACAAATTATTCAGTAAAGTATGCTTTTCAAATAAAGGCTACCACTGGGTCATATATGATGCCAAAGAAGGCAGATATGAGGTATACAGCGGCTGAGGTGTTCAATCGTGACTTCATTCAACGTGTTTTACCTACAAAGTTATTCCATGTTTGAATATAAAGTAAGAATTGTTTCAATATATATATATATATATATATATATATATATATATATATATATATATATATATATTATTGTGTTGAATGTTTGAACAATTGTCTTGAGCTGCAACCAAACCACTCTCTCAGGTTCTTGAACCATGAAACGCGTCTTCTTCCTACGCTTCTTCTACCCTCTATTTTTTCTTGATATATGAGTCTCAAGATCTTGTATCTTTCGCCTCGTATAACATGTACGAGATATTGCAATTTTCTTTCTTTTATTGTATTTTTCATATACCTCTGCATATTCTCCTTAAGATTTCTATATTCGCGACTCTATCTGCCCATGGAATCCTTAACAATCAACTAAAAGTCCACATTTTAAACGCGTTAAGTAAATTTTTTGTATTCCGGTTTAATGTCCATGATTCAGCTTCATAGTAAAGTACACTAGTACAATGTGTACCTAGCATTTAATTAACCTCATTCTGAGGGCTAATGTCAGATCTTTGCTGCATAAAATATTTTTTATTTTCACCAAGTAGAATTTTCAATTCTGACTCTTTTTTCTGCAGTATATTATTCGTTATTTTCTGTGATTATCGTTCCCAAGTAAGTATATCTTTTTACTCTCTCGATCTGCTGCTGCTAATTTTCATGCATTTTTTTTATGTTAAGACAGAGTCCGTATTCTCCACTATATCTTAATATTTTGTTCATTATTCTTTCTAAGGGCCGGTTCTACAATCCAAGTATAAATTGGAGAATTGGAGTTATTTTGAGTATAACTTACACTTGAGTTTATTTCAAGTATAACCTTTCGACCGTTCTACATTGTGAAATCGACAGCGGAATAGTTATTCTGGGTAAAACCACAGAACACTAAGGTAAAACGAAATAGTAGATCTGATATCCTCAAAATTAGTTCAAATTGTTATTGACAGTGACATTTGGCAGTTGTCATAACTGTAAAAGTTGTTTACAATTGAAAGGAATTAATTCGTTTTATCTGGTTTCGTTCTATGTTTATTTATATTATTATACTTTGGATTGATTTATTTTTTTGCTTTGGCAAAATTTTATATTCATTGACCTAATATATATTGATAAATACTAATAATGTATTGAAACTAAAATTTTTTTCAAAAACAATTTTATTTTATAATATTCATGTCTCATTAGAAAATATTTTGTATATAGAACTAACTTGCTTATTGATCATAGTTAATGATCAGATAACAATAATCATAAGATTTCTGTTGTAGTTTTATTAAATAAAATTAAAAAAATATTTCATTATAACAAATTCACAAAATGATTATTTGATGCTCGAATTCTGATATTTTCATGTATATAGACGTCAATTTGTTGTAACACATTATTTTCATGCAATTCTTTATTAATATACACCTCATTTGGCGGTTCACCATCTTTTTTATTGATTGCTATTATCATCATTATTTTGGCTTTACAACCCTGTGTGGGTCCTAGCCTCCCCAAGAATTCTCTTTCAATCGTCCCTATCCATCGCCTTCCTTCGCCCAGCACGTTTTTCCATATTTCTCATATCTTGGTCTATGTTATCTAGGAATCTTGTTCTGGGTCTTCCTATTCTTCTTTGACCAATAGGTCTATCACGGAGCGTTTTTCTAGCTGGGTCGGTTTGCTCCATCCGCATTACACGGCCTACCCACCTCAGACGTCCTATCTTAATGTGTTTTACGATATCTGGTTCCTGGTATATTCTATAGAGTTCGAAGTTGTATCATCTTCTCCAGACACCATTTTCATTTACCGCTCCATAGATTCGCCTCAGTATTTTTCTTTCGAAACACCCTAACATGTTTTCATTGCTTTTTGTTAAAGTCCAGGTTTCTGAACTTTATAGTTATGTTAGGACTAGGCGTATTATTGTTTTGTAGAGTTTTACTTTTGTATTTCTTGATATAGCTGTAGATTTAAAAAGGAGATTAAGCCCAAAATAGCATCTATTAGCCGTGCAAATTCTGCGGTTTATCTCTGCGGTAATGTCATTTTCAGTACTGACGAGCGTTCCCAGGTATACAAATTCATTAATTGCTTCGATGACGTCGTTTCCTATAACAAGTGGCCTTCGTATTTGTGGTTGCGGACCTATTTTCATGTATTTCGTTTTATTAATGTTTATTATTAAACCCATTTTTGTAGCCGCTTTCTTTAGTGCTACATACGCCTCTCGTGTTGCGTTTTCCGTTCTCCCAACAATATTGATATCTTCACCATATGATACTGATTGCTAAGTTTTGCAAAATTGAAGTGGCTACGATAATAGCCTGGGAAGTTTTAGAGGATACCTAAAGATAAAATATGGAATCTACGTTTCCACACTACATAGGATCTTTCTACACAGTTTTTAGTTCTGATCTGTGACTCGTTAAATAAAATTTCTGCATGTTCATTTGGAGCTGCTAGAGGTGTGTAATACCATATACACTGTCGCCCAGGAGAGCAGAATTTGCACCAAATTCTCTTTCTACTAAGCGAGCTTTTAATCTAGAGTTATTAAAAGTTGCATCACACACAGTCTGAACATTCCATGAAAAATATCCATTTAGATTTTTATAATAAGCTTGATCTCCTCCTGGTGATTGGATCCGGATATGGGTACAGTCTATTGCGCCTAGTACATACAGAAATCGTGCGATATTATAAAATTTTTTATTAAATTCCTGTAATTCCATTTCTGTAGCATGTAAGTATGTGTTTCGTAAAGTGCATATTGCTTCCGTTACTTGCTTTACAATTACACAAGCAGATGTCTTACTAACACCTTCAAAATCTGCAGCTGCTATTAGCATGCAACCAGAAGCATAAAATTTTAAAGTTAATAACAGTTTAGTAGCTGCTGATATGGTATGATTGCGCTCAGTCTGAGAATATTCTTTCTTCTATTTGGTGCAAATGTTTCTGTAGACGAAAACGAGTGAAGAATTCTAATTCGTCATACTCTTCAAAATAATTTGTCATAAAAAATTTAATTTTGTTAAAACTTCAGTTGCTACATTAATATATATCCAATTCATACCGAATTCTAAAAGTTTTTGGATGCCTTAGCATATTTATTCTTTCTTCAAAATCTTCATCATCAGATTCAAAAATATTAATATTAATTGGATCCATATCAAAAATTTTATTTTATGTATAAAAACAAACAAAACCACAGTTCAAAGATCGAATGGCATAAAGTGAGGTATTTGACAACCCCTGCCGCACCAATAGAAATGCATTATAAATATATACTCGGTATATCTGCTCAACTTTGAGAGGGATAAAGTTATTCTACAGATATACTTCGATTGTCTTATTCCTTCTTTATTCTTCGTTTGTAGGACACCATTAATGAAGGTATTACAAGTATAACTTTATTCTCAGTATATACTAGCATTGTAGAAGTGGCCCTAAGTCTTCCAAGTTGTCGGCTATTATGACTGTATTGTCGGTATACCTAATGTTGTTAATTAAACTTCCGTTTACTTTCAATCAGCTGCTATTCCAGCTAATTCTTATAATAATTTTTAATAATAACCTAGTACCTACACTTATTTACTCTACACAGCCTAACGGTACTTTAAAAGACAGCATCTGTTTTTTTTTGTGTTGTGTTTTGTGTTTTGAAAAATTTTGAAAATAATTATAGTTATGGTTGAATGTACTTTTAACGAGATTTCACAAAAAAAAGTTAAATGTTTTTTATTATTTTTATAATCTGGCAACTAAGTGTTAAAACAAATGTAATTTGTCTTCTTTCCTATTAAAGTATAAGAGTTCAATTGATTTAACGAGAAAAAATCTCCGTAATACTGAGTTAAAGAAACAATAAGTAAGTGGGGTAATGAGCATATTTCAGGTTCACAATTCAGCCCTTTTAATGTAAACTTAACAATGTTACAATTTTTAGCGAATGAGACCGTGGAGTAGCATTTCCTGGAATACAATTATGTATTGGATATTCAAACGGGAACGTTACTCGCCTTTCCTAGTTTATATGCTAATAAATGGGATCCTGGCAATTATATCGATAAAAATTTCATATGTGCCAATAGATACTTTTTTAATAATCCGTTTTAACTGATGGAAAAATGAAATATATTTCGCTGTTGCGCGTGAAAGGGGGCACAAGTCATAAAACTTGAAAACGAGAAAAACACTATTTAAAATCTAAAAAAAAATAAATTTTTTTTAACATGTACTTTTCTTAAATGGAATAACATTTTTTTAGCTGAGTATTTGGAAACAATATATGTTTAAAACGATATTTGTTTGACTTACTTCATTTTTCACAAATAAGCATATGACTACTCACTTTTTAATTAAACATAATAATGATAAAACAGGAAATCCGAAGAATACGGATAATCAAAAATTTTATTACGGTAATACAAGCTTACTTAAGTGCAAAATATATTGAACTAAGAAAAGGTACTCATTAGTAAAGTGTCGATAAATTTTAGCTCCGAATAAAACGTGTTTTTTGTTGGTTTACTTTTCTATTACTGTCGAATCTACGGTCAAGTCCAAAGAAATTCCGTTAGATGCAAATCTGAAAGCTGTTACAGTCTCAATAGTTAATCATTTTAAAATTAACATTTGCAGTGTATATTCACCACATCCGAAAGAGTCCATACACCTAGACCTACAAAAAGTGATAGAACAAATTCCATCTCCTAAATTAATTCTTGCTGACACAAATTGTCATAACGAATTTTGGGGATCTGCGAAAACTGGCAAAAAAGGCAAAACTCTATTAGAAATAATTAACAACCTCCAACTGGTGCTTTGAAACGCAGGAAAGCTTACCCGTTTCCACTCATACAATGGCACGTTTTCAACAATCGATTTATCACTCAGCAATTCAACTTTAACACCAACACATGAGTGGAATATACTTTCAAACTTATTTAACAGCGACCATCTACCAATTTTGATGACTCATATTAAAAACACAAACATTAATACAAAACCATATAAAACATGGGAATTAAAATCAGCGGACTAGGAAAAGTACACTAGTTTAATAACTGAACGAAAAAGAGACTTCAAAATATTAGAAGATATAAACATTACAGTAACAAATTTTGATTATATCCTAATAGATTCTGCTAGATAAGCGATTGAAAAAACTAAAGCTACCACTAAAACTCCTCTATCCTGGTGAAATATCGAAATAGAAACTTCTTTGTAGCAAACAAAACACTCCTTTAATATCTTGAAAAAGCACAATTTCGAATCTAACTTAGCTAGATTTAAAGCGTTAAGAGCCAGATTAAGATTTCTTAACAAAAAATCTAAAAAATAAAGCTGGGCCAATTATATCTCATCAATAAATTCATCTAAACCAATTAGTGATATTTCTCAGAAAATAAAGAACATAAAAAGCTCCACCAAAATTAATCATATTGTCACCATTGCTACAGATAACTTAATTACTTTAGATAAACTAGAAATTGTAGAAATATTAGCTGATCACTATCAACCATATTCGAGCAATAATTAATACAACTCTACATTCCTAAAACACAAAGAAAAACCGTATTGTTACAAATCAAAATAGAAGATATTTTATGCTTTCTCAATATACTGATTACACCAAAAGAGTTAAACGAAAGCCTAGGTAATGCTTAAAAAAACTTTTGCAGGACCTGATGATATTCCAACAATATTTATTGAGTAACTACCAGAAACAGTAAAGAAAATTTAAGTTGACATCTTTAATAAAACACACAAATAAAACGTTTTCTTCAATATGGCGTCTAGCAGCTGTAATTCCTTGTTTTTTAAATGAATAAGCCAAAAAACATACCATCCTCCTATCGTCCAGTATCTCTCACCAGTAACATTTGCAAAAGCAATAGAGCGAATATTGAGTAAAACACTGAAATGGCACTCGGAAAAGAAAAAACTGTTTACTCCCATACAAAGCGGATACTGTTTAACAGATTGACAGCTGATAATAATGTTGCACTAGAATCCGAAATCCATAAAGCATTTACAGATCAACAAAAAGTAATCACAATATTTTTCGACAACAAAACAGCTTTCGACAAAACATGGACGCATTATATCCTCAAAATTATAAAAAACTGTAAAATAGACGGTAACTTTCTTGCTTTCACCAAAAACTTTCTTTAAAACAAATCCATACAAGTAAAAACGAATGGACTCATGTCAATATCGAAATCACTCCATAATGGAATTCCTCAAGGATCGGCCTTAAGTTCTATAGCTAAAAGCGAATCTTTTTACTTATGATCTAGTAATATGTTAAAAATAAAAATATAGAATTATCTACGAACATTTTACACAAAACATTAAACAGCTTAGATATGTGGACTTTAGGAACTGGTTTAACTTTTTTAACTGATAAGACTAAAGTAACAGTGTTTGACAAAAGAATAGCAGAATACAACTTAATGAAACAAGTAGCTAAATGAAACAAGTCCGCGAAATCAATTTTTGGGTGTAATATTTGACTTACAACTCACATGGACTTCACATATCAACAATTTGATCAAATCCTGTCAATAAAAAATAAACTTACTAAGAGTTTTATCCAATCATAGATGGGGTTCAGATACGTAAATTCTCCTAAATTTTTATCAGACATTAATAAGAAGCACACTCGACTACGGATGCATCTGTTATGAAACAGCAAATAAAAATCAACTAAAAAACTGGATGTTATTTAAACCACATCTCTACGACTAATCTTTGGAACCTTAGGAACTACTCCAATAAGAAGCCTTCAAGTGCTAGCAGCAAAAATGCCACTATACCTCAGAAGACAATATATATCACTATGCTACGCTTTAAAATTCCAAGCGCCAAGGATCATACCTTTCTCGCAAGTTTGGTATCGGAAGAATCACTAGAACAATATACAAATTACATCATCAAGACAAAATACAAAATAACAAAAACAAACTTACAATGTTGCTATCGGTATACAACTCTAGAAGTTGGAGATATTATAAGAACTTAAAATGTTATTGGGCGACATTTTGTAGAGGAAATAATTTATTACGAATGAAAATATCTTTTTAAATGGAACTATGCATAGATGTTAACCTCTTTAAAAACAAAACAAAATAATTATAAATTTATGGTAAGGTATGTACCAAATATCACCGAAAATAAAACTAGCTGCCATATGTCAATATTAAATTTTAAAACTTTGAGAATAATTATTATGGCAGTCAGCCATTTATGATTTTACTTATTACAATTTCTGATTTTGTCATGAAAGCAACTATGCTAAGTGACATAGGAATCCGAACATCCAGTTTAAATTATTTTATTTCAATAAAATTTGATGTAATTTATTTATCTTACTAAAAAAACAAGTGATAAAGTTTTTAGCCTTATCAGTTGGAGATTCCGGTTTTTATACTTTTTGTTTTTAAATTCGCTAACAATCTAAAAATGAATATTTCAGCCGCAGTAAAGATCGAAATTTGGCGGATTGTGGTTCTTGACATTCTTTACGATTGCTTACGATGCCTAGAGTAAGAAGACCTGTATGATTTCGTCAACTTAGTGAGTTTGATAGCCGGACAGCTGGACTTTCTTTTCGGGAAGTTGTAGTTAGAGTGCAAAAAAGTGTAGACACCATGGTTAGGTATTGTCAGGCATGGCTTCAAGAAGGCCGTACGCAAAGAGCAAGGTGCACTGGACGCCGCCGTAGAACAACAGACCGTGAAGATCGCCGTCTAAGATTATTCGCCTTAAGGGACCGTTTCTCCACTACAAGCTTCATTGCAAATGAATGGTTTCCAGAACACGAAAGACCTCTTGGCATGCG